GACCGCTAGTCGTGTGTCGGCACCACGATCTTTCTGCGTCTCCACTTAGAACCCACTACTTCTCAACTGTCTGCATGACGGGCACGCTAGCGTTACGCTAGTGCTTTCTGATCAGCAATTATTCTGAGCCTGAAGACGTTTTTACGTTGCTTTTTCTTTGTTTTTGCCCCAGTTTCTTCATCAATCGATTTATATTGCGCTTCAAAATTTCTCTGCCTCTCTTTCGGCACTATTATTTCAGGTTGACCACATCACCAGCAAATGAAAGCAGCTATATTTGAAACACATAAAAAACGGGCGTGAACAAATTTCACCACGAGGCATCATCTTTTCCAGTCTGCAGATGAGATTTCTAGGTGTTGTAAGCGTTATACAACATTGATGCACGTTTCGGTGGAGATTACTGCCTAACAGACATCATAGCATTGATGACATCCTAGAAGATTAATTCTTTCTTAACACAAATAGGTCTTGGGGGCCTGAAGTGTCTTTGTAATCATCTTCAGTCGTGGCTATCGAATGAGGGTTGTCTCTTCTGTACGTAGCCAACCATTCGAAACCTAAACAACCTCGGACACCTATTGAAACGCACACTGCCATACCTGTCATGATCATAGCCAAACGCATCCGACCATAAATACGATGTGCGTTGTAGTGAATGGCATCTTTGCCGCGAGGAATGCCGAGGTAAAAAAGACCTGAAATCTAACACGTATCAAATGAGATTATGTTAACAAAACATAAAAATGACAACTCTATGAACTTCAGTCTTGCATTTTGGGACAGGGATAATTTTGAGTGATTGTCCAAATCAAAAGTATATCAGAAAATTATTTTTTGGAAAGCTGACATAACCAGCTTTGGTCTAGTTTGCTGTATGATGCTATCGCAAAAGTCTTGAAAGAAGCACAGTTGCATTTAGACCAGACCATTGGACTAAAATTAAAAAGACAAGAAAATGTATATGGTTCTGACCATCGCAATACTGCAATTTAGTAATGAAAGTCATGGCTCTATCCATGTTATCTTAAGTAACATTCAAAGGCGCAGTCATACAACTGATTATAAACGCCACGCTCACCAGCGTTCTTCCCTTTTTAGAGGGTTGCGGCAGCGTCCTGACAAAACAAGGTAAAGTTCCACTAACGTGAGCTAACCCATCCGGCTGATCCAAGGTCTTAACTTGAACAGCCTCAAATTTTTCAGCGGACTTTCTCGAAACCTTCAACTTTGAATTGGGCTGCGGCGCTGAGCCCGTCAATGTTGGTGACGCAACGGTCGAGGATTATACTCGGAAAGTGGGCGTCATGTGCGTTCTGACGTAAAGTTTGCAGCGGGAGCCTCATTGCGACTTACGTTACGTACCTCGGAAATCGGCACGTTACCAGGCTTACAGTGGCACATCAACATGGCGCTTGTAGCTAATTTCTCTTTTGTCTGCGAAATGCCGCATCAGTGTGGCGGTGAAGCGTTGGCAGAGTGCCGAACTACTCTGCATTCTTTATTTTTAGGCTGATTTCATACTAATCTGGATGTTTTGGAGCAGTTTCAGCGGAGTTCTCGCACTGTTTCGGAACTGTGCTGCATGCGCTGCAGCCGCCCGC